CAGTGGCATGTACCTGTAGTCCCAGCTACTCAGGATGCTGAAGCACAAGAATGACTTGAACCCAGGAAGTGGAGGTTGCAGTGAGCCGAGATCACACCACTGTACTCCAGGTCTGGGTGACAAAACAAGACTCTGTCTCACAACCTAAAAAAAAAAAAAGAAAAGAAAAGAAAAAACGAAGCAAAACAAAAAAGTTTGAACCAAATTCTAATTTTGCTTGGCTACAAGACTTCAAAATAATGTTTTCAATTATTTTCCTTGATTTTTTTCCATTTTTCCTAATTTGGAGTTGCTGAAAACTAAGTTATGCTTTCTTAAAGCCCTTTGAACTAAAGCCAGACAATTTCAGAATAAAATAACAGCAACCTATTTGCATACATAAGCCACTTTCATACGTGCCTACTAATGTATAGAGTTCAGAGTAATGTGGCCTGTATTGATTTTTCCAGAATTGGTCTTTTGTTTGTTATTGTTCTCCCTTCCTCCTGCATTTTCTCTTCATAGGACATGAGACTTCACAACCTGCTAAAAAATGAGCTTTTGGGACCTAACCTGTCTACGAATAAGCTGTCCTCGCCATGAGATCAGATAAAACTTGGTAACAGATTTATTTTCTCCTAAAATGCTTTTTCCAAAAATTTTTTAAAAGAAACGGGAGTAAATGTGAAAAGAAAATATACAGGGCCCCCAAAAATCACTAAGCTAAAGGGAAAATTCAAGCTGGAACCTGCTCAGGGCAAATCTGCCTCACATTCTTCTTTTTTTTTTTTTTGAGACAGAGTCCTTGGTTCACTGTAACCTCTGTTCATGCAATTCTGTCTCAGCCTCCCGAGTAGCTGGGATTTCAGGCACTTGCCACCACACTCAACTAATTTTTGTATTTTTAGTAGAGACGAGATTTCACCATGTTGGCTATGCTGGTCTCAAACTCCTGATCTCCGGTGATACACCCACCTCAGCATCCCAAAGGGCTGAGATTACAGGGATTTGAGCCACCACGCCCGGCCTTGCCTCCCATTCTATTCGAAGTCATCCCTCTGCTCACTGAGATAGATGCACATTCTGGTTGCCTCCTTTGGAAAGGCTTAACAGAAACTCAAAAGAATGCTACCATTTGTCTCTCACCTACCTGTGACCTGGAAATCCCCTCCCTGCTTCAAGTTATCCCTGCCTTTCTGGACAGAACCAATGGACTTCTCGCAAATATCAATTGATGACTCATGTTTCCTTAAAATGTATAAAACCAAGCTGTGCCCCAGCCACCCTGGGCACATGTCATCAGGACTTCCCAACACTGTGTCATAGGCACATATCCTCAATCTTGGCAAAATAAACTTTCTAAATTAACTAAGACCTGTCTAAAATTTTTGGGGTTCACATGTTCATCTTGTTCTGAAACTGAAATGTGTATGGTGTGAGTTGAAATAGTAAGCAAGTAGAATCAAGAAGAAAGGCTTAGAAGAAAAATAGATATAGGTATATGAAATTGAGAAGGTTGAGTAGAATCCTAGTCTTGCTTTTTTTTTTTTTTTAAAGAGACAGTGGTACAGTGAAGTGATCATGGCTTACTGCAGTCTTGACCTCCCAGCCTCACAAGTTCATACCATTTCAGCTCAAGAGTAGCTAAGATTACAGGCCCACGCTACCATGCCCAGCTTCACTGGCTACTTTTGAAGGACGTTAGGGAACCAATTCATTATTTGAAACCTAGTAAATAATGGAGAGGAATTAAGGATTTATCCTCCCCTTTCTGTAAGAGGTATACAGTACTTCAAGATAACCAATAGTGAAGGCATGAAAAATTATCTTTATAGAAATATTCTGTTTACTAAATGAAGTTTAGAATTAAAATATCAACATTTTTAATGCCTACTGAAATGACGGTAGGCACTGACAATCAAGGACTTCGAACAAAGACTACTAATCATTTCTGCCTACTTACCTATGAAGTGCTCCTGACAAAAATAAGGCTGAATCTGTGTCATAGTAAAATTGAGATTGTGCAAAACTCCACATGACAAACTACCTGGTTTTATCAATAAGTAAGTTACAAGAGAAAACTAAATATGGAGGAGGAATCTATCAATTAAAACTAGTCACACGGTATGGATAGCATGTGGATCCAGATTCAAACCGCTATAAAACGGCCAGGCGCGGTGGCTCACACCTGTAATCCTAGCACTTTGGGAGGCTGAGGTGGGTGGATCACCTGAGGTCAGGAGTTTAAGACCTGCCTGGCCATCATGGTGAAACCCCACCTTAAAAAAAAAAAAAAAAAAGTTTAAAATAAAAGTTGAGACAATTCTGAAAATTTTAGTACTGGCTAGGTATTTGAAAGTATTAAGGAATTAATTCATTTTCATTTTCTGTGATAGTGGTACTCATGTTTACCTTTTTTTTTTAAACTATCTCCAGTAATTGGTATAAGCAATGTTTACCTTTTTAAAAAGTCTTTAAGATATACATATTGAAATATTTAATGGTTAAATGATATTTAGGACTGTGGAGATATGATGAAGAAAGATTGTTAAAACTGGATGAGAAAAGGGATCTATACTATTCTCTCTACATATGTGTATACGTGAAGAGGTAAACATGGAAGGAAAGAAGGGAAGGGCAGTCAATCTAAGTTTCATGTAATAAATATTTTATTATCTTTCAAAGCATTTCAGTATTTACTTTTCTTATTCAATACAAAGACTATAAGAAAAAACTAATAATCACATAAAGAAACATTTTTATAATAAAATCAGTAACACAAAATGGAACACCAAACAAAACCTTCCCAGTATATCAGATAACATTAAAAAAATTAAGGAAGAAAAATGACCAGCTTGTTTGTATAAAGCATTATTTTAGAAGGGAGCCTATCTAATAATTTGGAGACTGGGTAGAGTTTAGACTCACATCACTCAGTGAGTCTCCAAAACTTTAAAACCTAAAGACATCACAAGTGGTAAACTAACAAATCATACCAGCTGTCCCTACCATTGTAAACCACATCGAAACTCTGAAAAGCAGTTTTGACCGCCAAAATCATCCACTTCCTTAAAAGACAACTTTAGTGTTCTAGTTTCCCCCACAATCAAAATCAAAGGAGTATATTAAAATTTTGGATTAAAAAATAACATAATCGGTGGCTCATGCCTGTAATCCCAGCACTCTGGGAGGCTGAAGTAGATGGATCACGATGTCAGGAATTCAAGACCAGCGTGGCCAAGACAGTGAAATCCCGTCTTTACTAAAAATACAAGGCCGGTCACGGTGGCTCACGCCTGTAATCCCAGCACTTTGGGAGGCCGTGGAGGGTGGATCACGAGGACAGGAGATCGAGACCACCCTGGCCAACATGATGAAACCCCGCCTCTACTAAAAATACAAAAATTAACGGCCGGGTACGGTGGCTCACGCCTGTAATCCCAGCACTTTGGGAGGCCGAGGCGGGTGGATCACGAGGTCAAGAGATCGAGACCATCCTGGTCAACAGAGTGAAACCCCGTCTCTACTAAACATACAAAAAAAAAATTAGCTGGGCATGGTGGCGCATGCCTGTAATCCCAGCTACTCAGGAGGCTGAGGCAGGAGAATTGCCTGAACCCAGGAGACGGAGATTGCAGTGAGCCAAGATCGCGCCATTGCACTCCAGCCTGGGCAACAAGACCGAAACTCCGTCTCAAAAAAAAAAAAAAACAAAAATTAGCTAGATGTGGTGGCGCATGCCTGTAATCCCATCTACTTCAGAGGGTAAGGCACGAGAATCGCTTGAACCCAGGAGGCGGAGGCTGCAGAGAGCCGAGGTCGCACCACGGCGGAGGCTGCAGAGAGCCGAGGTCGCACCACGGCACTCCAGCCTGGGCGACAGGGTTACCCCCCCCAACTAAAAAAAAAAAAAAAAAAAACGTGTAATCATCACTGGCCCTTGTCCATTCAAGACTCCAAAGTTTACAAACCCACTTTCATATAATTCATACCCTTTGCCCGAAATGCCTTCCTCTCTCTGGCGCCTGTCGAACTCCTACTCATCCACTCCACTCTTGTTTTCACTGGCGAAAATATATTTCTACTCATATATTTTGCAAGAGACACAGATGACCTATCAGCATTCTATTTCCTATCCCGATTAAGAGCTCAGTCAATTCTTCACACACAAAAAATCTTTTTACCAGTAATGCATACAGCTATCAGCTATGATTTTTGGTCTTTAGAGATATGACAATTGCTTTTTGTCATTCTAGGCACAAATTACTCTCAAACCAAGAAGTTTCAGGTGAACCAAAATATGTTTTTCAAGGTGGGTATGGATAAAGTGAATGCAAATTACCTTCCAACTATCTTGGGCCATTAATTACAAGAGCAAAGGTAAAAGTCATCATAATAGGGAAAGGCCCTTTGACATCTCCAAAAAAACGAAAATAAAAGATTAAGAAAAGACAAAAGAGAGGGAGGGCAAAGGTGACCAACATCCCCATCGCTGCTAAGTTCCAGGACTAGCTCTTGGGCATCCGTCGGCAGATTTGGCTTTTCTCTTTTGGCAGAAGCCTTCGTTTTTAAATAGGAGAGCCGACAGGCAGGACCCAGATGCGTCGGTACACGAACCTTGGAGCACCCAGCGCTCCGGACCGCGGACCCGGTCTCACGAGCACGATGCTGACCAGCGTCCGCCCCGGGTCCTCCTCCTCCGCCCCGACCCCTGCAGCCCAGCGGCGGGCCGGGAACGAGCGGTCCGGGCCGCTTGCGCGGAGAAGCCTCGTCCCCGGGGTCCTATCCCGACGACAGGTCTGCGGCGCCCTCGCTCCCAGGCTCGGCCCAGGCCAACGGCCCCGCAGGGACCCCTCCAAGACGCCCTCGGCGCGCCGCAGCGGCCTCCCCGCCCCCCGCGCTGCCAAGGCCGCCGCAGGCCCCGCGGCCCCCGCCCGCCGCAACAGCGGCCCAGTTGCCCGCACCCCCGCTGCCGCCTCAGCCCGTACCGGGCCCCTGCCACCCCCGATCGCGGGCCTCACCTCAGGAGCGAATTGTGGTGCAGCGCGCGGGATTCCGGGGTCCCAGTCCAGCCACCGCCCGTCGGCGTCGGCTCCGGCTCCGGCTCCGCCCCCGCCCGCCGCGCGCACCCTGGCCCGCAGCCGCGGCCCGCCCGGCCTCTCCGCCCCTCAGCCCCTCGGCTCGCCCCCACCGCCCGAGCTGGGTGCGGCCTGCGGCGCTTCAGCCCAACAACGCGCCGCCCCATAGGCCGAGCTGCGCAGCACTACCGAGCAATGTACTCTACGATTGGCTGGGCCCAGGAGGGGCGGGGCATCTGCGGGCGGGGCAAGCGGACTCGCGGAACCCTCCTCAGGGCGACCCCTCCGGGGCGTGCGGACGTCCAGGGTTCCACGCGGAGGGTACCCTGGCCGGCAGCTTCGGGCGCCAGGTCCTGGCTTCACTGGCCTCGTAGCTGACGAGGCCGGGTCGGCTGCGGCGAGCCCCAGCCAGATCCGCTGGACACGATTTCATTGTTGTTGACCTGGCGTCTACCGCGGGCCCGTCCTCGGCCGGAGGGGCCGTCGGAGCCCTGGGACTCTGCCCGCCGCCGCCCGCCCTGCGCACTCCCCCAGCAGACTGGCCCTGCCCCGCCTGCCCCCGCGCCGTGCGGTCCCCAGGCCGAGTTTTGGGGCCCGGGTGGGGTCAGGGCAGCAAGGCCTGTGGGCCCCGATAAGGCTCCACAGCGGACAGCTGCCTGGCACCCAGGCCGGCCTGCGGGTGCTGCGGGGACGAGCACCAGCCACCTCCGCAGCACCAGGGAGTGAGCCTGCGGGGCTTTGGCTGGCCCAGGCCGGCTGCCAGCGACCTGGAGGGCAGCCTCAGACCAGCAGCTTCCCGCACGCTGTCCCTCCTGCTGGAGCCTCTGACCCCCAAAAAGACCAAGCGAGACAAATGGGCACGGCTGCTTGCCCTCTTCACACCCATAGAAAGCTGAGGTCCGGAGCCGGGCAGTGGCAGAAGTGTGTGGAATCCAGACCTCGCTGCCCAGCAGGAGGCTCTGAGACAATGCCCCACAAGGGTCAGGGATACTGTCTGGATGGCAGTCAGCGACCCGTGTTCTAAGACCGTTTCTGTTGGACGTTGGCTTTTCCAAGATGACTTTTCTGACAAGATCACGATATTTTCTCAGGCACTTGTGTCCCATCATTAATCACTAGGGAAATACAAATCAAAACCACTGTGGGATGCCACTTAACATTCATTAGGATGGCTGTTGTTGAAGGGGGTGGAGCGGAGAGCCGAGCCGGCGCAAGTGGCTCCAGCCTAAAATCCCAGCACTTAGGGAGGCAGAGGCAGGAGGACAGCCTGAGCCCAGGAGTTGACCGACTCACTGGATAACATAAAAAGACCCTAATCTCTACAAAAACGAGAAGAAGAAAAAAGTTTCAAGGGGGGAGGGGAACGAGGAAGAACAGGAAAAAAATAAGTGTTGGCAAAGATGCGGAGAAATTGGAACCCTTGTGCATTGTTGATGGGAATGTAAAATGGTGCAGCTGCTGTGGAAAACCATATAGTGGTTCCTCAAAAAATTAAACCTATAATTACCACGTAAGCCAGCAATTCCGCTTCTGGATATATACCCAAAAGAAATGAAAACAGGTATTTGTACCATGTTCATAGCAGCATTATTCAGAATACCCAAAAGGTGGAAGCAACCCAAGTGTCTGTAAAAGATTAATAGATAAACAAAATGTGGTACAGTATATACACAGACGATGGAATACTATTCAGCTTTAAAATGCAAGGAAATTCTTTTTATTTATTTGGGTTTCGTGCATTTTTTTGGAGACAGGGTCTCACTCTGTCGCCCAGGCTGGAGTGCAGTGTTGCAACCATGGCTCACTGCAGCCTTGACCTCCCAGGCTCAAGGGATCCTCCTGCCTCAGCCTCCCAAGTAGCTAGGACTACTGGCACGTGCCAACATGCCCAACAAATTTTTGGTATTTTTGGTAGGGGCAGGATCTCACTATGTTGCCAGGGCTGATCTCAAATTCCTAGGCTCAAGCAATCTTCCCAAATCCAAACTCAGCCTCCCAAAGTGCTGGGATTACAGACATAAACCCATAAGCCACAATGCCTGGCCTAAGGGAAGGAAATTCTGACGCATGCTACAACAGGAATGAACACTGAAGACATGCTATGTGAAATAAGCCAGGCACAAAAAGATAAAGGTATGATTCCACGTGTATGAGGTGTCTAGCAGTCAAATTCAGAGACAAAAGGTAGAATGGTGGTTGCAAAGAGCTGGAGGAATGGGGATTTAATGTTTAATGGGTACAGAGTTTAAGCTTGGGGTGATGAAAAAAGTTCTGGAGATGGATGGTGCTGATGAGTTAACAATAATATGAATATATGCAAAGCCACAGAACTGTACACTTTAAAATAGTCAAAATGATAAATATTTAATATGAAATTTTTATCAGAATAAAACAATTTTAAAGCTATTAAAATATTCCTTCCTTTTCCAACTACAAAAAAGAAAAAAGAGCTGGGCGCCGTGGCTATTGCCTGTAATCCTAGCAATTTGGGAGGCGAAGGCAGGCGGATTGCCTGAGCTCAGGAGTTCAAGACCAGCCTGGACAACGTGACAAAATGCCAAAAATACAAGAAATGAGCCAGGTGTGGTGGCAGGTGCCTGTAATTCCAGCTACTCAGGAGGCTGAGACATAAGAATTGCTTGAACCCAGGAGACAGAGGCTGAAGTGAGCCAAGATTGCACCACTGCACTGCACTGCCTGGGTGACAGAGAGAGACAGACAGTGTCTCCAAAAAAAAAAAAAAAGAAGAAAGGAAAGAAAGAAATACTGTCTTGGGTGAGGGTTTTAAAACATACTGAGTTAGAATTGCATATACACAACAATATCAAGTAATGAGGGAGATCAATTAAAGTCACCTGAGGTCCTTCAGTTGTCTAGGAAGAAAATAAAAGTGTTTATTAGTTAACTCTAGACTTCAATAAGAATAGAGAGTGTTTAACTTCTGACTAGGAGAAGGGGGTAAATGAAATGATTTAAGTTGTTCAATCCCAAAGAAAGGGAAAAGGAGAGAAAAGGGAGGAAAAAAACCACAAACACAAGTGAGACATAAAATAAGATGGTAGATTTAATTACATCAAATACAGTGGACAAAAGATGTTGCTTTTTGTTTTGTTTTGTTTTGTTTTTTGGGGGGGATGGAGTTTCGCTCTTGTTACCCAGGCTGGAGTGCAGTGGCGCGATCTCGGCTCACCGCAACCTCCGCCTCCTGGGTTCAGGCAATTCTCCTGCCTCGGCCTCCTGAGTAGCTGGGATTACAGGCACACGCCACCATGCCCAGCTAATTTTTTGTGTTTTTAGTAGAGATGGGGTTTCACCGTGAAAAGATGTGTTTTACATGCTATTAACAAACAAAACAATGAAATTAAAAATATGCAATTTACAATAGACTAAAAGACACATAAGGGCCAGGCGTGGTAGCTCATGCCTAATCCCAGCACTTTGGGAGGCCAAGGTGGGTGGATCACAAGGTCGAGATGGAGACCATCCTGGCCAACATGGTGAAACCCCATCTCTACTGAAAAAATACAAAAATTAGCTGGGCATGGTGGCACATGCCTGTAGTCCCAGCTACTTGGGAGGCTGAGGCAGGAGAATCGCTTGAACCCGGGAGTCAGAGGTTACAGTGAGCCGAGATGGCGCCACTGCACTCCAGCCTGGCAACAGAATGAGACTCTGTCTCAAACAAAAAAAAAATCCTCATACCCTAGAATCCAGGAGTCAGACTCCTGGGTACAAACTCTAGAAAAACTCACGTACCATTTGCAAAAATTACATGTGCATCAGAGACACAGACAAAATTGTTGCTAGCAGCATGGTGTGTAATTACCTCAAACTAGAAATAAACCAACTGTCCATCTACAGCAGGCATGTCCAATCTTTTGGCTTCCATGAGCCACACTGGAAGAATTGTCTCGGGCTATGCATAAAATACACTAACACTAACTATAGCTAATGAGCTAAAAAAAAAAAAAAATCCAAAACAAAATTTCATTATGTTTTAAGGAAGTTTACAAATTTGTGTTGGGCCACATTCAAAGCCATCCTGGGCTGCATGCATTGGACAAGCTTGATCGCCAGTAAAATGAATCTGTGGATCATGATACAGCCGGACCATGGAACTTGTTAGCAATGAACATGAACAAACTACACTATGCACAGCAACATGAATAAATCTCACAGACATAATAATGAGCCAAAGAAGCCAGTTGCCAGAGCTTGCATCGTTAAGATTCATGGGGACAAAACACAGAAACAGGAAAATGCTGCGATGGCTACATGATTGGGTGCTGAAAACTTTTGAGAAAAACAAGAACACAAAACTCACATAAGCCAGGGCAGAGAGGCCGGAAATAACACTGTGAGGGGAGGGCATTTAGGTGCTGGCAAAACTAGTTCCTGACGGAGGCTGCACACATGTTCACTTCCTGACAGTGTGTCAGGTTGTGCATTTACATTTTTTTCACTTTTCTGTATGTTGTTTTATTCTGCAGGAAATGAATGAAAAAGGGATTCTGCCTCAGCTCTGAGCAGCTCAGAGTGCGGCCAGGGACAAAGCTGACGGCAGTACAAGGGAATGGAATCCTGGCAGCCTGGAATGGCTGCGAAGTTTCCTAGGGGTCCAAAGGAGGGCAGATAGGTGGGGGTCTGCTCTGTGCCCATCAAATCTCTGGAAGATGGCTTAAAAGGGATCACCACTCACACACACTTCTGTCAAGATTCAGGCAGTCCCAGTCCCTCTTCCCCAAGGACAGGAGTCCTCCTGGTACAGCCCTCCAGCCGGCAGTCCCTTTTGGTGGAGGGAGCAGGGCGTGCAGACAGGGCAGGATGTGTGCGCCAGGAGCCAAGTGGGGCTCGGCCACAGCCAGAGCCAGAGGCTGTGGCCCTTCCCTCATTCCCCCTCTAGAGACCAGCACGGCCCTCCCATGTCTGGTGGGACCCTGGTGTCCTAGGCCATCCCTCCAGGGCCTGGGACACCCTCAAAAGCCTTTTCCCTGCTGAGCTTCCATCTGCCTTTCTATGAAATGGCCCCAGCCCTGCCTGCCTCGGAGCACTGAGCAGGCCCCAGGCGCCCCTCTTTCCCAATCCCCACCCCCCTCATCCTGCAGTACAGGAAACACCTCCCTGGGGCTGTGCTGAGCCCCGACCCGCAGAGGAGCTCTGCACAATGTGACCCAGAGGCAGCAGTGCTAACCGAGGCTTCTGGTTCTAAAAACATCTTTTCAAGTCTAAGCGTAGTGGCTCCTGCCTGTAATCCCAGTACTTGGGAGGCCGAGATGGGTGGATCACTTGAGGTCAGGGGTTGGAGACCAGCCAGGCCAACATGGTGAAACCCCATCTCCACTAAAAATACAACAATTAGCCGGGTGTGGTGGCTGATACCTGTAATCCCAGCTACTCGGGAGGCTGAGGCAGGAGAATTGATTGAACTCAGGAGACGGGAGGTTGCAGTGAGCCGAGATTGCGCCACTGCACCCCAGCCTGGGTGACAGAGTGAGACTCCATCTCAAAAAAATACACATGTATTTTCACAATAAAAATCTGTATTAACAGAAGGTACAGAGCTCACCACAGTCCTTCAGATGGAACCACAGGAAGAGAAGCATGTTTCATCCTGGGCTCAGGGTGCTTCCCAAAGCCACCAGGGCCCTCTCCCCAAGCCCCAGAACTGAGCCCGTCTCAACTCATCTTGAAGGTAGGCAAGTCGGTGAGCCCTCTCCAAGCCTCAGTTTCCCTAGCTATAAAATGAGGAAGGAGGGCTGCCACTGGGGCAGGGCCTAGGCCTCCTGCCAGCCCACCCTCACAAACCCAGAGGGCAACGCAGGGTGAGGTGGGGCGGTTTCGCTTCCCAGTACTATGGCCCCGCTGGCTGAGTGAGAGCACCCCGAGTCCTAACCCTAACCTTGGGAGGCAGGCAGAGACCCCCACAATGACCATCATCGGCTGTGAGGAGTGGCAGGGAGCCCAGCAGTGGCCAGGGTCTAGGTTCAGAGGAGTGAAGGATAGATGGGGTCACAGGCTAGTTAATGGCAGAGGAGGGACTTGAATCCAGGCCTCTGTGATACTCGGGTCTCTCACCTGTAAAATGTGACCAGTAGCAGCTGCTTCTCCAAGCACCTCAAACACAGATGTGCTCAGTAAATGATAACCCCAACCCCAACCTTATATGTGGACTAGAACATTCGTGGCACGTTCTTTGTGCTGGAGGACCATGGCCTGTCCCCCAACCCTCCCCAACACACTCTTGCAGCAGAGGCCCTGGGCCTGGGGCAGCTCACACAGAGGTGGGCAGCTGTGTCAGCAGGCGCAGACTCTGGGAGGTGAGGCTGGGCCAGGGCCCTCGCTGGGCTTTGGGCAGCCATAGGCCTCAGCTGTCCAGCTGTCCAGAGGGACCTATCACCTGGCCCTGGGCTCCAGGTAGCTGTGGGAGATAAAGCAAAGGTGTCCTGGCGTGCACCACTAGCTCAGCACCCCAGGCACCAGGCTGGAAACCACATCTTTCATCCAATCCTCCATTTAACAATTTTACAGGAAGTGGCCGGGCACAGTGGCTTATGCCTGTAATCCCAGCACTTTGGGAGGCTGAGGCGGGCAGATCACAAGGTCAAGAGATGGAGACCATCCTGGCCAATGTGGTGAAACCCCGTCTCTACTAAAAATACAAAAATTAGCTGGGCGTGGTGGCGCGCACCTGTAATCCCAGCTACTCAGGAGGCTGAGGCAGGAGAATTGCTTGAAGCCGGGAGGCGGAGGTTGCAGTGAGCCAAGATCACGCCACTGCATTCCAGCCTGGTGCCTGGCAACGGAGCGAGACTCTGTCTCAAAAAAAAAAAAAAAAAATTAGCCAGGCGTGGCGGCAGGTGCCTATAATCCCGGCTACTCAGGAGGCTGAAGCAGAAGTATCGCTTGAACCCAGGAGGCGGAGGTTGCGGTGAGCCGAGATTGCGTCACTGCACTCCAGCCTGGGCAACAGAGCAAGACTACATCTCAAAATTACTAAAATAAAATAAAATTATAAAATTTTACAGGAAGAGAAAGTGTGGCCACAGTGGGAGAGTGGCATGCCTTCCTAAGCGAGTTCAGGTCAGACAGGGCAAAGAATTCTGACCGCAGGGAGGAGGAACGACTGGTTTTCCGGAGACGGAGCAGAACCACAGAAGCTCCCTGTGCCCTAGGCTCAGCCCGGGCCCGACCCCTCTCCCCAGGGAGGCTGAAGGGAAACCCCTGCAGAGGTGGCCTTGGCCACCTGGTTCCTGGAAGCAGCTGACTGCCAGTGTCCACAGGGCCTGTCATTCCACCACACCCTACGGCCCCCTGGGGGCCAGTCTCCCACATCCGCTCACCAGCCTCATCACTTGTTTCCTCCAGCAAACCACAGGCCCCCAGAACATACCCCAGGGAAGGGGGCTGCAGGACCTCCTCCCAGCAGTCAGTCACTGTCAGTGGCACAAGTGCTGGCCTCAGTTCAGGTTTCCCTGACACAATGCTGAGAAAAATCACAACAATCCTAGGGTCCCTGCCAGCCCCAACCTCCCCCTGAGTCTGTTTCATTAAAAATTCAGCCCGGAGGGTGTGCCAGGGAGGGTGACTTGCTGGAACTCAATGGTAGAAAGTGAGGGGACAGATTGGGGCTGGGCCCAAGCCAGGTATTGCCTGGAGGGCTTGGGCATCTGAGTACCACCATCCCTACCCACCCTTGGTCTACTTAGGACCCACCGTTCCTTCCCATCATGGCTGTCACTTCCTCCAAGAAGTCTTCCTGGAGCCCTGAGTCCTTGCATGCCCAGCTGCCCTGGACACTATGCCATAAGCACCTCATACCCCGCTGTCCCCAGACTGGGCCGTGAACTCAAACTCAGCCAGGCCAGAGGCCCCTGCCTGGAATGGGAACAGGCACATAGGAGGTGCCCAGTAACTGCTTGCTAATGCAGGTGATGAACCATGTGTAGCTGCAGGGCCTCCTAGCTCTATAGCCCACTCCGTGGATGCCGAGTTCTGGAACGGGGACAGGCACCAGGAGGTCCCCAGTAACTGTGCACTAATGCAGGGAATGAACCAGCCATAACTGCAGGGCCTTCTAGCTCTGCCCTGGCCTGACCCAAGGCAGCAGAACTGGTGCATGGGGTGTGGGGCCCCAGCCCAGACAGCCCAAGTTTGGGTCCTGATCTGTTACGTACCGTGTACCCTGGGGAAGTCACTTTAGCAGCCTGCACCCTGGAAGACAAGACAACCACCTCTTGGGGTTCCAAGGGCTGCATAGCACTTGGACATCCGTGTGGGCACCCAGTAAGCTGGTGATGCCCTCCTTCCCAATCAAGCCCCAGCCACCAAGGCAAAGGTCATCGCTGCTTTATTGGAGGCAACAGCCCCTACTGGAGCCTGTGTCTTAGCGTTCCTTGGCGGTTCCAGGGCCAGCCCCAGCCCCCAACCAGCTGCCCCAACCCTGCCTGGCTCCCAGCCCACTGTGGGGTTTGTGTGCTGGGGGGACCAGTTTCCTGTCCTCGGAGCCCAGGCAGGGCTTGGTCCTGGGTTTCTAGGGTTGGGACAGGGCAAGGTCATGTGGGATAAGAGAGTCCCCTCGTCCTCTAGAGCCTGGAGCCTGGTCCAGCCCCGGAGCCCAGCCTGCTGGGTAAGACTGGCTGGGTCCTAGAAGACATCCATCATGGAGGCCCTAGGCAAGCACAGACTTGCCCCCGCTCACCCTCCCATGTGGGCCCGTGTCCATCGGTGCGGCCTGGCGTAGGCATCACCTGGGCCCAGTGTAGCCGTAGGGGTGCCGCAGCAGCAGGCTCTGGTGGCTGGGCAGCACGTGGGTATGGTAGTACTCCACCATGCTGCCCACACTCACAAACAGGACCTCGCCCTCCAGGTAGAACTTAGAGTCCTGTGGGGGCAGAGAGGGGAAGCGTCAATGGGGCCAGGCCACTCTACGGCTCTGGGCCTCAGTCTCCCCTCTGTAAAATGAGGCAGCAGCAGCAATGATGGTATCGCCAGGCCAGCTCCTGGCTGCCAGCGGGCCCCCCAGGTTGGCCTCCGAATCGGGCCTGTGCTCTCCATGTTCCCACCTCACTTCCCCTCCGTCCCAGTGTCCAGGAGCCTGCACCCGGAGCACTGCAGGCAAGGTCGATAAGTGAGCCTAGGGACTGGGCGAGAAGCGGTGGCCCGTGCCTGTAACCTCAGCACTGTGGGAGGCTGAGGTGGGAGGATTGCTTGAGCCCAGGAGTTTGAGAACAGCCTGAGAAACAGTGAGACCCCTGTCCCCACAAAAAGAAAAAGGCAAGCAACCCAGGGTCTAGGCTGGCCACTCATCCCCTCCAGGGTCAGGGGAGGACAAAGCTAGGCCAGGAGAGGAGGGAGGCTGAGCAGGAGGGGTGGGGGATGAGGGATGGTGGAGGGGAGGGGAGGGAGGTGTCCTGGAGCTGCCGGTCTTAGTCTACCTGCTGCCTATGCCTGATCAGGGAGATTCTGTCCTGCCCCTTGCCACGCCATGTGGCCAGGGTCCCCATCCCACTCAGAGTCCTCTCACCTTCTCAAAGATTCGATAGTTCCTCAGTTTGTTGGAGGTTTCATCCCACACAACCAGGACCTACAGGAGGGAAGCAGGAGGCTGATAGCTTCAAGAGAGCAGGACCGCCCTCGGGGGACCATGGGCCAGGGAGAGGGGGACAGAAGCATCAAGGCTGGGTCCTGTGGCTCTGGCTCCAGACCACCTGCACAGGGACAGCAGGGATGACACTGGCAGCCTTGAGAAAGCCTCCGAGCAACAGCTCATAACCACCAATAACCACTCTGTTGCACCCGGGAGAGCACGGCCCAGTGAGGCCACACCTTCACGCTCGGAGGGACGCGGGCAGCCCTGGCGTTCCCACTGTCCCAGGTGGCCTCCCCAACCCCACCCGAGTCCTGGTCCCCGCTGGGAGGTGGCCATCATTGCCCCCACTTTGCAGATGGAGATCCATTAGAGAATAGACTGGGGGGCACTGCTGGGCAGAGAATTCGGCTGAGACACCAAGTAAGAGCCCACAAGGGGAGTGGTCTAGGAACTGGGGAGTCCTGGGCCTGCCCACAGCCTGGGTGCCTGGAGAGGCAGAGGGGCCAACAGCATGGAGCCCTGGGCATCTTCCCCGGGCACCTACCTTCCCCGACTTGGTAGAGGAGTTCCGGATGCAGTAGAGTCCATCCTGGGGCTCTCCCCGGGGGCTGGTGGCCTTGAACAGCCTAAAATAAGACAGTCATATTGGCGGGTGAGCCCTCCTCAGGCAGCTTCCATGGGGACCCTCCTGCCCCACTCCCAAGCCCGGCTTTCTGTCCCCTCGCTGTTGTGGGTCTCAGATGCTGAGAGTATCCGCCTGCCATGAGGCTGGAGAACCAGCCCAGCAGAGCCCAGGCCAGCCAGGGTGTCAGCGGGTGACAGACAGAGCAAGGGCCCACTCCTCTGGTTTCTGCTGCACACAGGGCCGTGTACTTGTGCCAGCAACCCCCCAACACAGAAGTTAGTGAGGGAGACAGAGTAGCAGGAAGACGGGGCGCAGCGGGGGACCCAGCACATGCAGGGCTTTGTGCTGACCTTTCTACTTCGAAGGATTCCGTGGTGTTGATGAAGACCGAGTTGGGGAGTGGCACCTGCAAGAGGCTGATGGTGTCAGTGCCAAGGTCGGAATCATCCACCCGTACCACCACTCCCCGATGGCGGCCACCGGTCCCAGGATCTGGGGCTTTGCTTGGTGCTGTGTTGCCCTAGGCTCCCAGGCTCTGGGGACTCTTCGCTCAGGATGGCCAGCGAGTGGCCGTCCTGGTCTATGGCTCTCCCACCACCTGTCCATCTACTGGCCACGGGGACCTGGGCTCGCTGCTCAGCCTTGCCTTCTCATAGTCCTCGTCTGAGTCCTCCCCGTCACTGTCAGCCTGCGAGGGTTGCCGGGGCTTTTCAAAGGAGAAGCTCCTGAAACTCTGCCCATCGGGGGGTGATCGCCTGAAGGGGCAGGGAGAGAAAGGCAGGACCATTTCACTGTCAGACACGGGGCAGGCCACCCTCTGCTCTCCTCCCCACTCCGCCCTGTGTGAGGACACAAGCTGCCTGCTATGGCCCCTGTGACCATAAAACCAGGACAACAGAGATCCAGGAGGGGTTCATGGTGACCGTCCTGGGGCAGCAGGAATTGCCTGACATCTGAGGGCTGCCATGGATGCCAGCAAGGGGGGCCTGCGGGCCCGAGCTCAGTGTCCACACCGTGAACACGTGCTCTGGACGCTCTTGGGGAGGGGAGGTCTGGCCTTGGCCAAATCACAGCCCACTCAGAGCCACAGGGGAGTGGAAGATGTGAACTAGATGAACAATGCAATGTGACCTCAGGGGACGCCCATGGGAGAGCCCTGCAGGCCTCCCCGTGTGACTGGGTGGTCCCACTCCGCAAAGCCTAACGGAGCCATGCCAGCATGGGTGGCCAGCTTGTGGGTGTGGCTGAGCCCTGGACCGCTGCCCCCACAGTCGTGGGAAAACGACTGACTTCCGAGTACCTGCACCTCTGCAGCCCTTGTTAACCAGAACCACGAGCATGGCCAGGGCTGCTCACAAGCGCGTCCACACAGGCAGCAGGTGTCTCAGAGGTGTGTGCAGAGCCCTGGGAGAAGGGCACTCGGGGGTGGGGAAGGGCATTCGCGGGTGTGCCTGCAGCCAGCGCACCCATGCGAAGCCTGCCCTGTAGTTCCTGGAGACTTTGCCTGCCAGGCAAGGCACGCAGCCTGCCTGGGGCCCAGATGCCTCTGACCACAGCCATTGGTGTGGGCGGGTGACTCTGTGGGAATGGGGGACAAACTGGTCTCCTGGCTCTTCCCAGAAATAAAGCAGAAAGCATTTCAGCTGAATGCAGTGGCTCATGCCTGTAATCCCAGCACTTTGGGAAGCTGAGGCAGATGGATCACTTGAGGCCAGGAGTTCAAGACCAACCTCGTCAGCTCTACTAAAAATACAAAAAATTAGCTGGGCGTGTTGGCAGGTGCCTGTAGTCCTAGCTATGTGGGAGTCTGAGGCAAGAGAATCACTTGAACCCAGGAGGCAGAGGTTGCAGTGAGCTGAGACTGTACCACTGCACTCCAGCTTGGGCACCATAAGACGACCCTGTTTCAAAAAGAAAAAAAAAAAAACCAAAGTATTTCCAGCAGGCTTCAGGGCCATCATGGACATGCTCCACGCGCCACCAAAGCAGACTGGAGGCATCAGGGAACCTTCCTATCCTTGCACCCGGTACCCTATCATGGGCAGAGTGCCCATCAAGAGGCCAGGCCAGGGCTTCCAGCCACCACACAAACTCACTGGAGGTGGGGGAGCTGCGACTTCTCCGGCCTGGGCAGGACTGCAGGCCGTGCTGTGGCCTCAGGCACTGGCAGTTTCAGTGCAGGAGGTCGGGGAGCCACGGGGGGCACAAAGAGTCCAGGCTTGGCCACCTCCCTTGGGGCGTCCTCTTCAGCTGTCTTCAAGAACTTGGGCTTGTTGGCTGGCACAGGTGGGGGCTCAGATATGGGCGGTCCCCGTGGGGACAGATGGAAGGACTTGAGTTTGTCACAGTTTCTGGAGGTGGCAGTGGCCAGGGTGGTGGCACTGGAAGTGGAACAGGCCCCGTGGCCAGGGCTCCAGGGCTCCGGGCTGGGGCTGGCACTCTCCCGGAAGCAAGGGGGTTTCCGAAGGCCGGGTGTGTTGGGCACACTGCCCATTGGGGGGTCGCTCATCCTCCAGGAGGTAGCGGGTACCCTGGGGCAAGGCTCAGCCCGCCTCAGGCCCAGTGGGTTCCTCTTGGAGTCCTCCGCAGCCAGGCCAACATCTGGGAGGCCGTGCTTAGGGGGTGGGGGTGGCAGCAGGGGACTGGGGCCCTTGGAGGTAAAGGAGTGGGCCCGGGGCATGTCAGAGAAGGCTGGCTTCCTGGGCACGGGCACTGGGGGTGGTGGGTAGGCCGGTGGGTGTGTCAGGGGATCTGCAGAGCAAAGAGACCCATGTTGGACCCTGACAGGCTGGGCCAACACTACCCTCTGCTGGCAATGGTCAGCAGGGCCAACCAGGAGTGTAACCCGTTGTCGGCCCACCCACGGCCTGCCCACCCCTCAGCCCAACACCCAGCACTCCCATCCTGCCTTCCCCAGGGTCCCAGACCATCCACCGCCCCCAGCCGTCCCCATCCATCCTCCCTATGGCAGCCTGTGGACGCTTCCTAAAGCCTAGAAGACACCTGCGGAGCCATCGGGTTCCCAGAGGCGGAAGGAAGTGAAAGGAAGAAAAGTCAAGGGGGACCTCCGGGCTTGGCCGGAGCGGGAAGGAGGACAGAATTCCAAAGGACAGGCCAGGGGAGCTGCTGCGAGGAAGGTAAAGGCCTGTTTGTTCAGAACAAGTCCAGAAAGCTGGGAGACACCCGGGAACGCGGGGGGATGGTCAGGGCGTGAGCGCAGAATTCAGGGGTCCCGGCTGGACATGAGTCAGAGCCGGCAGCCTGCAGATGACCTGGGTATCACCCGGGAATTCTGGAGAGGAGTGAGGCCTGAGCCCCGGGTACCCCTTACAGGTCCGGCACAGGAGCTGAGGAGGCAGAAGACCCTGGGGCATGGCACGCCTGGAAGACGGGCAGGCAAGGAACAAGGCGGGTGCCAGGCTGGGCTGGCTTAGGACTGACCGCTGGAACTGGGAATGGGGAGGCCACAGGAGTCTGGATGAGTAATGTTTGGGGGAGAGGTCGAAGAGGGTCCAGAGGGAGGGAGAGTGGATCAGTGGCACAGGCTGCTCCCCAGGCCCGTCTCTAGCCTCACTGGGCCTCAGCTCAGGGCGGGGCAGACAGAGCCTGAGCGCACCAGGGCTGGGCCAGCCAGGCTAAGACTGGAGGCAGGAGTGTGCAGGCAGGGGGCAGGCATGGCGAACACTGTGGGATGAGAGCTCTGCATGGAGGGAAACTGAGGCAAGCAGCTGGCAGATCCTGGTGGGCTGAAGGACGGTTGGCACTGGGGCCCCAGAGGGAAGGAGGGAGGGAGCAGCAGGAGAAGAGGGGCTGGACCCGAGACCCTGAAGGTGGAAGGGGACGGGCAGCAGAGAGGACACGGGGTCGGGGCCTGGAGTTAGCAGAGGCCAGGTCAGTGAGGACAGGGGGCAGAAAAACAAAGAGGCAGGGCGGATGCATGGACGATGGAAGGATCAGGGATCAGTAAGGCGGATGCATGGACGATGGAAGGATCAGGGATCAGCCCCAGATATAAGGAAACTGACCAGATGAGAGGCCTGGAGAGATAATGGGGAGGGAAGGAAGGAGGGAGGGGACAGAGGAGGACAGAGGCACATCCTCCCCACCCAGCTCGTGCTTCCGTCATCCACGTGGGACCACCTGTCTCAGCCTGTCTCCTTGACTGGGCTGTGGGCTGCAGGAAGGGGATGGATGCTGGGGTGGGTGGGGTGGGTGGGGTGGGGTGGGGCAGGGCAATGACCTGGCCTGCAGCAGCATCCACACAAGCTGGGAGCCATGGGGACATGGACCGGCCCTGAGTCTGTGCACCCCTCAACACGCTTCCTTCCCCATCCTCAGCCTCCAGGGCCGCCCTGGCTCCACCTGGCACCACCGTGTACCCACCCCTGCTCCTGGGAGATGGGCAGAGCAGATAAGCGGAGCTGGCGGCAGGTACGCCTATTCTGCTCCAATCCTCATAATACTTGGGCCACAGAAGAGAAACAGAGGCCACCCAAGGCGGTACCTGGGCCAGCATCCCCAGCCTCAGAGGGGCTCTGCTCTTGGTCCCAGACCCTGCTTCTCACGCACCCAGAGCTCCCCAGGCCCACCCGCCCCACTTACCCTCGAGCTTTCCGGGCTCCGGGGAGTCGGGCTCCATGTAGGAGTCATCCTCGTCATCATGCTCATAGTCTGCATGGGAGGGGCGGGGGGTGAGGGCCAAAGCGGCCCCGGACCAGTCTCCAGGCAATGCTCCGTGCACAGCTGATCCCAGGAGGCAGGGGGCGAGCACCGGCTGGGCGGACTGTGAGTCCAGACCCTGCTGCCAAAGGCCAGGGCCCGGGATGCCACTGCGCTCTGCCAAAGAGCACAGCCCAACACACCTCCCTCTCCTCCACAGCGGCCAAGAGAAGGGCTGGGCCCCTCACTGTCAGCAGCCAGGTGAGGACAGGCGGACGGGCAGTGGACGCAGAGTAAGACCTCACCTTCATTGTCCGTGGGGTATGGGGAGAGGCTGATATCCACAGGCCGCTCAACTGCGCCGTAGAAGCTGTCTGTGTCTGAGCTGGAGTCACTGCAACGCAGGGTGGGTCGGGGTGGACAGTGAGCACCAGCCCTGGGAGGTCCCTTGATGCTCACACAAAGGTACACACAGGCACACACATGCATACACTGACAGATTCACAGATGGGCATGTGAACACACATGCACACACAGGGACACAGGCACACAGACATGGATATACACACAAAGACACAGGGACACACACACACATGTGGACACACAGACACAAGGACCCCATCACACAGACGTGTAGGTACACAGATAAACACAGACATAAGACAAGCACAGACGTGCACACAAAGACACACAACACGTGGACATGCACACACATAGTTACAAGGATAGACTCAGGAACTGAAGGCTGTGGTGCCACCATGCCGTGCCCCTGCGGCCACTAGCTGCCACTCCTGCCCCATAAGGATGGCCACCCTGACCACGCCCACGTCTCCACCTGCTCCTGCCTCAACAGGGCTTGGGCAGTGCTGGGCTGGGCCCAAGGCAGGACAGCTTGGACCAGGGGCCAGGAGCTCGGGGTCAGGCAGGGACCTGCAGGGCAGCCTTGGGTGTGCCCAGCCCTCCCTGGGCCTCCTGTCCCCGTCTGTGAAAGGACCAGAAGGTCTGTTCCCTCTGCACCATCTCGGGACAGGCAGTTCCAGCCCAGAGAGTATCTGCTGTGCATTGGGCCAGCTCAAGGGGAAGACTGCCAAGGCTCGGACTGCCCTGTGGCGCCCTGCCTGGAGTTTCATTCTGGTCTCACACCGAGTGAGCCAGGGTGGGGTAGGGGGCTGGGAACGCAAAGCACCCAGATGCTGCCGTTCCAGGCCTCCCTGGCCGGGGACGTGGAAACATCCATGACCCCAACAGGAACTACCCACGGTGGTGACACAGAAACAGACGTGACAAGACAGGCTGGAGGTAGACAGGAGCAGAGAGACGCATGCACACCCACACATGCGGCCCAGCTGGCACCTCCAGGAAACATTTAAGGAGGGAATACTGTGCCAAGCCCGGGGCTGGGAGGCAGACACCCGGGTCAAGCCCAGGAGTCCCAGGGACCCCCACCGCCCGGTATGCCCCAGGCCCAGGGTCACCTGGTGTCCAGGGGCAGATCCTTCTTCTCATGGAAGTGGCCAATCTCCCTGCGCAGCAAGGCCATCCAGCTCTGCAGGTCAGCGGGGCTGCAGTGGGCACAGTGCCACCAGGGCAGGCCCCACCGCACCCCTCCACCCTCACTGCCCCACCTGCTCTGCTGTGACTCCCAAGGTCAGGGGAGGCAACACTGCTGGGTACAGCATGGCTGTGTGTCTCCCCTCAGCCCACAGGGGCACCTCCCAGGACAGGACGTTCCTTGTGTGGGTGCTGGCACCAGGCTCTGGGCATGGGGATGGGGCTGGGGCAGCAGCGACCCAGCTCCCTGTGTCCCAGCCACAGCTGCTCCTTGCTGGAGCTGAGAGGCCAGCGCCCTAGGACCAGTGAGCCCAAGGCAGGTCCAGCCTGGTGCCTGCAGGCCCACACCCCCAGTCACCTTGCGCTCGTCCTCGGAGGAGGCAGAGAAGAACCATGTGCGGTGCTTCTTGCTGATGTGGATGATCTTGAAAGGGAAAACGTTGTTGGACGTGGTCTCCTCGGCTGCCCGCATCACCCTGAGGGCACAGCGCCAGGGTCACAGCCTGGCTCACAGCTGTAGGGATGGCCTCCCACAGCCCCCACACGTGAAGCAGAGTCTCTCTGCTTCTGCACCACACCCCAACGGAAGCGGGCAGATCTGGGTGGGCCCTGGCTGCTGGGCTGCAGGGGCATGGAGCCCTGTGGGGGCCCCAGGCAGGTGTAAGGGGGCAGGGAGGGGCATGGGAGAGCGGTGATGAGCGGGCTTCCTGGGAGCAGTGGTGAACAGGAGACAAGGACACACCCCCTTGATGGCCGCCAATGCCGCTTTACATGGCTGACACATGCTGGAGGCTGGAAGGCAAAGTGTCCGTCTGCAGAAAGACAATGACCTTCCCCCGAGGAACCTGGAGCCCTGATCCACGGGGCCTGCTCCATGGCCACAGGGTCCTTGAGACTCCTCCCTCCCTCTTCCAGTGCCCCATGCCAGCCTGGGGGCCTGGCACTGGGCTGGGTGCTCTGGCAAGGCTGCCCTACCAGGGCTGTGACCAGGGTGCGGGCCAGGCCTAGAGTCACTCCGAAGGTCCGACTACTGACATGTTATCCCCTTCAAGATCATCCACGTCAGCAAGTCCCACTACTACGACGTGACCATTGGTTCCTCATAAGCAGGAGGGGCTGGGCCCTTAAGGGGTGGTAGGAGGCACAGAGGAATGCTGTGGGGTGCAGGGCTCTGGTGAGGCAGCACCCAGAACCAGAGCCCGGTGCCAGCATTTACCCTCTGCAAGGGGCCCAGCCATGGGCTGTGCCAGTGCATCCCTCACACACCTGCCACCTGGCCACCGCCCACCTGCCACCTGGCCACTGTCCACCTGCCACCTGGCCATTGGCCACCTGCCTGTTAGCACAGAAGGCCCTCAAGGGCAGTTCATGGCCCATCACGGGGTAGAGCCTAGCCCAGGACACGTGTGAAGCTGGGAACTAATCCTGGCCTGGGAGGACCCTGGAGCAGGAAATCCTGGGGCCAGGCCTGAGTTTGGGACATGGGCTGGCTGGGGTCTGAGCTGCCTGGAAAGAGGCCACGGTGAGTGAAGGGGCAAGGCAGGGAGGGAAAAGGGATGCAGAAGTCACTGGGTGGTGGCTGAGTGGAGACTGGAGAGCAGGCTGTCCAGGACCCTGGGGCCTGTGCATGAAGACACAGGAAGACCTGGCACATCCGGGGTCCCAGGCCTGAGGGCAGGACATGCAGAGAGGGCGAGGCACCGTGGAGGCTGGGTGGGGAGGGCAGGGGATGGGCAAGAAAGCTGCTTCAAGAAAGCACTTTCCTTGGGTGGGAACAAAGGGCGGGACCCGCTGGCCGTGAGGGCCCAAGGTCAGCAGGCGGCACGGGCACTCACCGGTTATAGCCACTCAGGGAGAAGGCGCCCTGCGGAGAGGCGGAGGTGCTGCTCTTGAAGTAGTAGACGCAGCGCTTGTGGATGATGACAAAGCGCAGGGGCCCTGTGGGAGGTGGCAAAGGCAGGGCGAGCCTGGAGGGGCAGCTGCCAAGACCCACTGTGAGGACCCACCCCAGGGCAACTTGGGGTCAGGCCTCCTGCCTCCAGGCCTCCTGAACGGAATAGCAGGAAGCAAGGTTGGCATGTTGCCCCCTCCCCAGGAGCCTACTCTGGGGCCAAATATGGGAAAGTCTGTGGGCACACTGGCTGGCCCCAGAGCGCCACCAGAGGGCAGGCCTGGCTGCCCACAAAGAAGTGGGGGGCTGTGTGGAACTACCACGAGGAAGGACAGAGCCAGGACCAGAGGCCCAGGGAGGCCACAGCTGACTTGCTGGGTGCTGCAGGACTGCTGGAGGCTCCCTCCACCCCAGAGCTACAAGATGGGGACCAAGGCCGCGCGCAGTGGTTCACGCCTGTAATCTCAACACTTTGGGAGGCCAGGGCGGGTGGATCACCTGAGGTCAGTTCAAGACCAGCCTGGTCAACATGGTAAAACCCCGTCTCTACTAAAAATACAAAAATTAGCAGGGTGCGGTGGCGCATGCCTGTGATCCCAGCTACTTGGGAGGCTGAGGCAGGAGAATCACTTGAACCCAGGAGTCAGTGGTTGCAGTGAGCCAAAATCATGCCACTGCACTTCAGCCTGGGTGACAGAGCGAGACTGTCTCAAAACCTAGTCAGGCATGGTGGCATGCACCTGTAGTTCCAGCTACTTGGGAGGCTGAGGTGGGAGGATCACTTGAGACCAGGAGGTTGAGGCTGCAGTGAGCTATGTCCACGTCACTGCACTGCAGTCTGGGTGACAGAGTGAGACACTGTCTCAAAAAAGTAAAAAATAGGCCGGGTACAGTGGCTCACGCCCGTAATCCCAGCACTTCAGGAGGCCAAGATGGGCGGATCACCTGAGGTCAGGAGTTCGAGACCAGCCTGACCAACATGGTGAAACTATGACTCTACTAAAAACACAAAAATTACCTGGTGGCACATGCCTGTAATCCCAGCTACTCGGGAGGCTGAGGCAGGAGAATCGCTGGAACCCAGGAGGCAGAGGTTGCAGTGAGCCGAGATTGCGCCACTGCACTCCAGCCTGGGTGACAGTGAGACTCTGTCTCTAAAAAAGAAATAAATAAAAAATAGGCTGGACACAGTAGTTCACAGCTTTGTAATCCCAGCACTTTGGGAGGCCAAGGTGGGCGGATCGTGTGAGCTCATGAGCTCTAGGCCAGACTGGGCAACATAATGAAACTACATCTCTACAAAAAACTTAAAAAAAACAGGGTATAGTGACATGCTTGTAGTCCCAGCTGAGAGGATCACTGAGCCTGGGAGGCTGAGGCTGCAGTGACCCATGACCAAGCCACTACACTCCAGCCTAGGCAACAGAGCAAGACCCTGTCTCGAAAAACTAAAATAAAGAGGGAGGCTCAGGAGCCCAGAGAGTTTGCCAGTGAGATCCACTGGTGTGCGGCCACCCCCAGGCAGAAAGTCACAGTGAAACCACCCCAGCTCCACTGCTCCAGCCCTGAGCAGCTTCTCCCAGGCTGGGGGCAAGCCAGTTACAGCTCCTCCAAGGAGGCTGCCTGTGCAAAGAGGAGAGCAGCTCAAATAGTGCCTGTCCAGAAACGAGTAGTCCAGCCTGGGCATCCCAACCAGGCAGCCCAGGGCCAGGGGGTCCCTGGCAGAGAACACCTGCTGCTCAGGCCCTTCTGCTCTTGGCCTTCAGTGTCTCAGCATCTGGGCATCTCCCGAGCCTCAGGGCTCCTTCTTCCTCCCAGCCAGCTGTCCTGGCAGCCAGAGCCTGGGACTGTGCAGCTCCAGAGGTCCAGCACCCAGCCAGGATTTGGCACATAGGTTCACCGTGGGCCAGGTGACGAACTAACTCACTGAACACTCACAGATTCAGTGAGGGCAGCACCAGAGGCCAGACCTACCCAGCCACCTGTGGTCCCCGGGCTCTGGCCGCAGGCTGCAGCTCCCCTTGCCAGCTGGCCAGCGCTTGCCAGGTGCACTACCCTGGACCCTGCTACAGTCCTGGGGGCTAGGAATGCCAACCTCAGGTCCTCCAGGAGTGCCAGCCACCAGAGAGGGATGGGAAAATCCAGAGGGCCCACCATGTGAGGAAGCGGAGGGTCAGGGAGGATGCTCACTGGCATGGCCAGCCCTGCCCCCATCTCCTCCCGCTGTGCCCCCTGCCACCCCAGGGACTCACATTTGAGCAGCTGCAGCTGGGTACCGCCCTTCTTGTGCAGGTAGCCAGCCTTGGCCACGCCCCCAGGCATAGTTAGCAGGTTTTGGGCACCAATGGCCTTCATAGGGACAGGCCAGTGCATCTCCTCAGCCGCCATGAAGCTGCAATCAAGGACAAAGGCATGCGGCTCAGCTAAGGTTGGGCAGGAGATGGTTGAGCCGGGCGCTCAGGGGGATACTGCCAAGATCCAGGAGGCAGCACGGAAGGTAAGGCCATGACAGGCAAGGAAACCCCTTTTCTGAAGGCCTTGGGCTTCTGGGTAGGACCCCAGGAAGAGACAGAGCCACCAGATCCACTCAGTCAGCCCCTGGTCCACCCGGCCACACACCCAACCCCAGGGTCCTGGGCGCTGCGTGTAACCCTTTATCTCCACTGGCTCATTCTCACACACCGGCTGAGCGCAAGGCCCCGTGGGAGCTGGGTAGAGACGAATGAACTCAGAAAACCTCCAGCCCAGGTAAATCAGACCTCAGGCCATAACTACTCCAAGTCCCAGTGCCAGGTGAGCCTCTAAGGGGCCTAGACAGGAAGAAGGTAAGTGAGCAGCCAAGAGCCCTCAGTTCCCAGGCCAAACGACCTGGGCTCCTGTCCCAGTGTGGCTTTCTGGGAGATTCCAAGCCTTGGTTGCTAGAAGGCACCACCCAGCCTGGCACATAGCACACTGTTGACAGCAGTGGCCGTAACCACCATTGGGAGGGTGGGCTGCTATCCACCCCACCAGCACGGGGTATCACTCCCCTTCCCTCTGAGGGCTACACGGTGCACAGTCAGTGGAGGACCAGTGACTGCCTTGGGGCTGACCCAGGCCCACGGGACCCATCGTCATGCCTTGTCCCCTACTCCAGCCCCCCTCACTCATGCTCCTGCTGCTCTCCTTGAAATCCACCATGCTGATTCATGTTTCCTCCTCTGCCTGAAATGACCTCCACCCCTTCCCATGCAGAGAACCTCCACTCATCCATCAAGACCCAGATCGAGTCCCCTCTTCTGGCTAGGCACCCTCATTGCCAGCTTAAATCCAGTGTCTTCCTCACCTCTGGTCCCAATGAACAGCACCCCCACCTTGTGCTGTTTGGTCTGTGCCTGCCCTCACTCCATCCCAGGCAGGGTGCCTCCTGGGGCCCCAGTAGAGTTAGATGGGAGCAGGCATGTGGCCAGTGTCCTGTTAAGCCCTTAGTGGAGCAGCTAAGGTGAGACCCAGATGCCCAGTGGGGCTAGGTCTGGTTCCACTACAGCTCCAACCCCCAAAAAGGCACATAAAGAAAACTAAGCCTGGGCAGCATAGCAAGACCCCATCTCTACCCAAATAAAATGTTTTTAATTAGGCACGGTGGCACACATCTGTAGTCTCAGCTGCTCCAGGAGGCTGAGGCAGGGGGGATCACTTGAGCCCAGGAGTTTGAGGCTGCAGTGGGCTATGACCATACCACTGAACTCCAGCCTGAGCAACAAAGCAAGACACTGTCTCTATAAATAAATAAAATAAGGCCAGGTGCAGTGGCTCATGCCTGCAATCCCAGCACTTTGGGAGGCCAAGGCAGGCAGATCACTTGAGCTCAGGCGTTCAAGACCAGCCTGGGCAACATACAGAGACCACCATCTCTAAAAAAAAAAATTATCTGGGCTTGGTGGTGCACACCTATAGTCCCTGGAGGAGGTAATGCAGGAGGATCAATTGACAAGGAATTCCAGCAGGCGGTAAGCTATGGTTGGCCACTGTTCTCCAGCCTGGGCAACAAAGCTGGAGCTTAAAAAAAAAAATTTTTTTTTAACTAAATAAATGAAAAGTATGGCCAGGCACTGTGGCTCATGCCTGTAATCCCAGCACTTTGAGAGGCTGAGGCAGGCAGATCACCTGAGGTCAAAAGTTCGAGACCAGCCTGGGTAATATGGTGAAACCCGTCTCTACTAAAAAAATTAAAAAATTAGCTGGGCGTGGTGGCTCGCGCCTGTAATCCCAGCTACACAGGCGGCTGAGGCAGGAGAATCACTTGAACCTGGGAGGCAGAGGTTGCAGTGAGCCGAGATGGCACCACTGCACTCCAGCCTCAGACTCAGTCTCAAGAAGAAAAGAACTCTTTGCTTTTAGCAAACCAGCCCCCTCCGACAAAAGTGCAAAAGGGACGTCTCCAAGGCCACAGGCAGTCTGCTGCTGGCCTTGGCCCGGGTCACCCGGCTGGACCCCAGCAGCTCCCTCTGCACCCAAAGCCAGGCCCTCCGGGTGGGGAGGGGTCAGGGGCGGGTCCCGGCCGCGGGGCCCCCAGCCACAGGCCTAGCTTTGGAACAAAGGTGCCGCCACACCCCGGCGCCCGCCCCACCTCGCCCAGCCAGAGGCAGCCCAGTAGTGAGAAAGGAGGGAGGGAGCCACGTGCCCAGCCCGCCCGCGGGGAGCTGCCCGCAGACCGGCAAGCCCCGTGCCGGCCGGAGCCCCCCACCCGCCCGCCGGGGCGGCCCACGCCCGCCTTTGTTCCCGCAGGAAGCCGCTTGGGCGCGCGAGCAGCGCCCGGGGCTCGCGGCCGGGATCTGGGGGCTCGCGGTGCAGGGTCCGGACCCCGAGGCTCGCGGCACGGGTCCCGGGTATCAGGGGCCGGGGCTCGGTACTCACGGCGTCCACGCGGCAGGCACGGCCGGCTTCCCTGGGGCGGCCCACGCCCGTCTCCCCTGCGCGCACCGGCACGGCCCCGGGCCGCGCCCCCCGGCCGCCGCCGCCGCCGCCGCCTCGTCCCAGTCGCCCGCCTCCCGCCGGCCCCAGCTCCGCGGCCGCGACCCCGCCATGCCCGCCGCGCCCGCCGCGCCCGCCGGCCCGGGCCCACCAGCCGCCGGCTCCTCCCTCTCGGCGGGGGACGGGGCGGGCAGGTGAGGATCCCGGGCCCGCCCCTCCCGGCCCCGCCCCCCGGCGCGTCACCCTGCGCGGCCGCCCCCCTGCGGGCCTCAGTTTCCCCACGCTGCACGGAGGGTGGCGTGCGCTGGGGACAGGAGGCCCACGTCTGTCGGTGCAAGAAGGAAAGACTTTGCGTCGAGCAAAGGAGGCCTCCCGCTCCACTCCCCCAGCACCTGCGATTCCAGACAACGTGGTTGGAAATCAAGGCAGGCGCGGAGCCTCGGCTCTGAGGCCCCGCCCAGGTCCCATCCCTCGGGAAAGTGGCCTCTGTAGAACTGCACCTGCACGACGGGCGGCAGCGGGGCAAGGGATCGGGCACGTACCCCGCCCACATTTTCTCCACTTTCCTGGGGGACTCCACAGGCCTCCAGCCAGAGATTCTCCAAGGAGCCAGGGGTCTGGTCCTCGGCAGCTCCCACCTGCTTGCCCATATGCAGGCGCCTCTCCCAAGAGAGTCCCGGGGGGCTGGCCAAAGGCCAGCAGAGGCCCTTGCTGGCTTCCCAGGCATCCTGCCTCCTCCATCTTCCACCTGCACACAGGCGGCCACCAAGATGGGTCAGGTGCAGTGTGGCTCTAGCAGCCTGGGCCTGACTTCACCTAGCTGTCCCCCCTGGGCACCCACCCCTGGTTTCAAGGCCCTGCCTCAGAGCCACTCTCTGGGCTTCTTCCCACTGCACCCAGGCTTCAAGATTCTGTCCCACCTCGGTGCCTCTGTTCTCCGTGCCCTTGTCTGGCCTTCCTCAAGGCTGCCTCCGCCTTCCAGCCACCCAGCCTGGCCCCTCTCGGTTGCCTCTTGGATCCCCTCCACTCCCTCTCCTCAGGCCTTCTTGGCCTCCAGCCCCCTCCACCCAGCACAGAATCAACATGCACACCATTCCCATCACTTCTCAGTGCTAAACCTCTCGGGCCTCCCCATGCTAACCTGGCCCTTCCTGATTCAGCCACTCCTGCTCTCTACCTTCTGTGCTCCTGTGCCAGCAGACCCTGTGGCTCCAGTTATCTGAATCTACAAAACACCTACTTGCAGGCCATGCTATTGCCCCAGCCTAAAGTTAAAACTGAACTAATACAGGAGTTGGCTCAAAAGAACACGGATCCTGCACAAACTTCCAGAAAGTAGTAGAAGAGGGCAGAACTCATTCTATGAGGTCAGCATTATCCCAATACCAAAACCAAAGACATCACAAGAACAATATCCCTTATGGCTATATACATAAACATTCTCAACCAAATACTAGCAAACCGAATCCTGCAACACATAAAACGGATTCTACACCAAGTGGGATTTATCCCAGCAATGCAAGAATGGTTTAATATTCAAAGCAATTAATATAACCTACCATATCAATAGAATAAAGGACAAAAACCACATGATCTCAATAGATGAAGAAAAAGCATTTGACAAAATTCAATACTTCTTCATGAGAAGAGAAACAGTCAGCAAACCAGGAATAGAAAGGAACTTCCTCAATCTGATAAAGGGATTTATGAAAAACCCGCAGCTAACGTAGCTAGTGGTAAAAGACTGAAAGTTTCCCCCCGAAGAACAGGAACAAGGAAAGGATGTCTGCTCTACCTCTATTCAGCATAGTACTGCAGATTCTGACCAGAGTAGTTAGACAATAAAAAGAAATAAAAGGTATCCAAAAAGGAAAGAAAGAAATACAATTATTCACTAATTAGATTATTTTACATATAGAAAATTCCAAGAAGCCCACTTAAAAATTGTTAGAATGAGCAGCAAGGTGGTAGGATAGGAGATCAACATACAAAAATCAATGCTATTTCTTTTTTTTTCTTTTTTTTTTTTTTAAAGATGGGGTTTCACCATAATGGCCAGGCTGGTCTTGAACTCCTGACCTCAGGTGATCCACCCACCTCAGCCTCCCAGAGTGCTAGGATTACAGGCGTGAGCCACCGCGCCCAGCTGTCAATGCTATTTCTATATATGAGCAACAATCCAAAAATAAAAGGAAGAGGTAGTTCAAGCATTCCCTCTTCCAGGCATTCTTCCATAACGTCTTGGAAGTCCTGTGTCCCTCCTCTGGGCCTAGCATAGTCTTCTCTGCCCCTAACACTGACCACACTAGATGGTCATTGTCTCCCAGCTTCACCAGCTCAGACCCAACCCAGGGAGCCCCAAAAGAAGGATGGAATGTTCACCCTGTGAGTGATGGAGAGTGAGTTGCCTGGAAGGCACTGGAAGCTGAAACAGCCCCTACCCTGGGGCATCACTCCCCACTGCGCCCCCGCCACCTGAAAGCTATAAGAAGACCTGGCCTGTGTGTCCAAGTGGGAGGAGCCACTGTGAGGACAGATGGAGCCCCCCACTTTCTCCTGGCTCCACACCTGGGCAAGGCTCAGCGGGAAGAGTTGGGGGGACAGGTTACAGTCCGACATGTGTTCAGCTCAGTGGCCAGGGAGGGGCAGGCCTGTGAGGGGCTGGTTCCTGCCTGGCTGCTGTCCCACTGTGGGCAGGATGAAGGCTCTTAGGTGATCATCAACTGAGCCTGGGCAGAAGGGCAGGTCATGACAAGGACATCATGCAGCACCCTCACCACCCCTGGGAGTTCCTCCCTTCAGGGATGGACGCTGACACCCACAGCCCCTCTCCAGACGAGGGGCCATTCAAGGGGAAGCCCACCCCTGCCACCCTACTATCCTCTGCCCCACCTGGCCCTGCCCTGTGCCAGGGGGTGGCACCTGCCCAGGAGCCCTGTGCCAGACCATGCTGAGAGCAGAAAGGGGCAGTGTCAGCTGAGGCTGAGGGTGATGATGGGCCATGGAGGCCGTGGTGACCATGTAGCTCTTTGGGAATTTCAGCTTGCAGACTCCGGTTCCACCTATGCTTGTGAAAGCCAAGGGCCATCCGCAAGGGGCACCCACACTCCTAGCTGGCCAGGCCTCCCTGCCTGTGCCTCTCAGTGCCCAGCCCCTCTCCCAGGGACCTGATGGTTAAATTCCATTCGTTCATTCCAGGGGACTCCTGCCAGCTCTCTGGGTGCCTCAGTCCCTTCCTCTGTAGAGGCAGACACCCTAGTGGGGACCTGTCACCATGCTGCTGCTGTGTCAGCAGAGTTAAGATGGGCGGGAGCTGTAAGGGAGAGTGCAGAAGACCTGAGTTCACAACCTCACCAGGTCCTTCTTCCACTGAGCTCCCACCTCTTCCAGTGTAAAGTGGGTGTGGGGGAGTCCACACCTCAGGGTCCCCTGACACCCCTGCAGCTGCTCTCTGGGGCAGGGCTCTGGAGACACATGGGCTGGTGGTGGCTGCTGGGCTCCATGATCCCATCCAGAAAGTATGTGATCCTTGCATGTATGCACACGTGTGGGTGTGCATTTAAGTGTGTGTGGGTGCGCACACCTGCGTGTACATCAGGGAAGGCGGGGCACCTGGGGTACACTCTCCAGGTCTCTGTTTCTGCGCTCATCTCCCTACCTTCTCTCAAAGTTGCAATTGGTTCAGGTGACCCCAAGGCCTGAGGCTGCTGGGGTGGGGGGCGGAGCAGGCAGGTGAAAAGCGCTCTGTCCTACAGAGACAGCTCATTGGGTTCCACTTAACGCAGGTTCTGTGGCTCCCACCACCCTGGGGCCCCATGAGCCCTGAGGCGTGTGTGGTCATGGCCTGCGCAGGCCCTCATGTGGGCTGTGTCTCTGCACACCCAGTTCATGTCACAGGTGGTGCACTCACACTCACACAGGACGTGCACATGAGCGGCATGGCTCATGTGCAGAAGGTTACATGAGCCCATGGGTGTGAACCCCTGGATGAGAGCAGGGCGGGGGAGGAAGGCTGGGCTCCTGCAGGCTCATCCTGGCTGTGGCCAGGGAGCCAGCACAGGGTCAAGGACTTAGTTAGTGGTGACCAGGTTGGTCCCATCTGTGGGACCCAGAGGGCAAGGTGGGGCTGGGGACCCAACCCAAAGGGAGAAGAAACCAGGTCGGTCACCCTGTGCACTTATTCACACTCATCTGTGCACGCTGTCACACTCAGGCATGTACACTCATCACTCACACCATCCATATCATTACATGCACTCATTCTCCGACATGCCCTCGCTCATGTTCTCATACACACTCATGCACTCACATGTGTACACTTACCCGTATGTATACGAATATACACATTCATGCACACTCATGCATAGGCAAGCACTCATTCGCACACACACAGCCTCACCGACCAACGAGAGCCTCGTGCGGGCCTCAGACCTGTAACCTGCACACAGGTGAGAATCATCCCCTCCACTCCCAGCCCTGCCAGGGCCCAGTGCCAAGTTCTACCACACAGCTCACTACATCACACCGGGTCCGCCTGAGCTCAATACTTCACTACCATTTTACAGACGTGGGTATAGAGGTCCCTCCTGAGGGAGAGGACTCTAGGCCTCCCTGTGTGCCAAGCTCTGTGATTCTCAGAGATCGCCCTGCACCATCATGCAACACCTTGAAGTTCAAGCCAGAGTCCTCCCCAGGTCACTGGCAAAGAAACTTGGCTAAAGTCACACAGCCAGTAAATGGTGGCTCATGCACCACCACCCACCCCGCACAGCCACGGGCCCAGCTGGCGCATAGTGGGTGGCCGGTGGCGCGGGTGGGGTGTACAGATGGGGCAGCCCTGCCTCACCGCAGCTGTCGGCTCTTTCCTTTCAGTTTCCCTTCTTTCCTTCCTCTTCCCAGAATATTTCTGTTATAATCAAAACCAAAACTTTCCCGTAAAGACCAGTAACTAGCTGCGCCAGCAAGCGCTACTGGCCAGGGGCAGGGCGCACAGCCTGGGCTCCGTGAGCACAGCCCCAGCCCGGCAGCCCCGTCCCTGCGGGTTTCAGAGCATGGCACGCCCCAGGCAAGCGACGGGGACCTTGTGCAGCTCTCTCCGTCCCCACACACAGAA